TGCTTGAACGGATGTTTGCGAATCCCTCTCGCTCTCGTGTCATTTATCTAAAGGAGAAGCCTAACAAGGAGGCTCAGGGTGCACGCCCTGTATCTATCTATTTGCAGACCATGAGGGCCACAGCTGCTGAATTGGCTCTCATCCAAGCTCCCGTCTCCAATGAAGATATGGTTCTTCATTGTCTACGAGGTCTGCGTGAAGAGTTTGGCCCCATCGCTGCCGCTTTCCGCGCTCGTGACACCACCATTGCATTAGAAGATCTCCACGATCGTCTGGTCGAATATGAAGCTGATCTGGCCAATGTTCGTACACATACAGCTGCTCCCACAACGGCCTTCTCCTCCTTTCGTGGCCGCAATTCTCCTCGTCAGAGTCACCACGCGGCCGCGGCAGTCCTCGTCGCCAATCCTCGGTGGCCTCCTATCCTGCTGATTCTTCCTCTCGAGGTCGTTATTCTAGCCCGCCATATGCTGCTTCTTCGCCGCCCTCTCTTCTTGGCCGACCACACCTACAATGCCAATTCTGTGACAAGGTTGGTCATACGGCAAAGGAGTGCTACCGCATCCGTGGTCGCCCTCAAGTCCATCACACTACCGCTCCAACCTCCTCCAATGCCGGCTGGTTGGTTGATTCCGCTGCTACTAATCATGTTACTCCGGACTTGGGCAGCCTCTCTCTCTATACTGATTACACCGGTCCTGATGAAGTCTTAGTCGGCGATGGGTCAGGTTTGACCATAACACATATTGGCACTTCCACTCTCCCTACTACTACGAAAAATCTATCATTGAATGATGTTTTATGTGTTCCGGCTATCAAACGCCGCCTGCTTTCTGTTGCCCAACTATGCAAGACTAATCCTGTATCGGTGGAATTTTTCTCTGATGTTTTTGTTGTGAAGGATCTAGCCACGGGGGCGCCTCTACTGCGAGGCCTGAATAAGGACGATGTCTATGAGCTGCCAATGGATGCCTCTCCGGTTCGTCTTGCCCTCACCACCTCCACGACCTCTTCCTCCACTTGGCACAACCGCCTTGGTCACCCAAACAGCAAGCTTCTTTCTCGTCTGCTTCATAAACAGTCTCTTCCTGTTACTCGATTTTCCTCCTCATTGTCATGTGAATCTTGTTCTCTTCATAAAAGCCACAAACTGCCATTTTCGGCTTCTACTTTATCCAGCACACGACCGTTTGATTTGTTATTCATGGATGTTTGGGGGCCTTCCCCGATTCTTTCACATTATAATTTTTCTTATTATTTAGTCATTGTTGATCATTACTCTCGTTACACATGGCTATACCCATTATCTCGAAAATCAGACGTGCATAGTGTGTTCACTGTTTTCAAAGCCATGATTGAAAATTACTTCCACACTACGATTTGCCGAATTTTTAGTGATGGTGGTGGTGAATTTCAAAAGCTTTGCTCCTTCTTTCAAACTTCCGGCATCACCCATCTCTTAACTCCACCCCATACACCACAACATAATGGCCTTGCAGTACGCAAACACCGTCACGTTGTTGAAACTGGCCTTGCCCTCCTCTATACCGCTCACCTCCCACTCACCTTTTGGTCTCAAGCTTTCCAAACGGCCACCTATCTTATCAATCGCCTACCCTCGTCTTCCCTCCGCGGTGATTCTCCATACTTTACTCTCTTCAACGAGCAACCCAATTTTCTTAAACTTCACACCTTTGGCTGCCTCTGCTACCCCTGGCTCCGGCCATATTCCCCACACAAACTCGCTCCCCGCTCCCGCCGTTGCATTTTCCTTGGCTACTCCCCAAATCAAAGTGCATATAAGTGTTACGACCCCATTGCCCACAAGTTCTTCTTCTCCCGTCACGTTCAATTCGATGAAACCACTTTCCCTGGCATTTCCACATCTGTCGAGCCCCCCATATATTCTGATAATTGGGTAGCACTTGCTTCCCCTGCACTACACATTTTACCCATCCCCACCAACCCTCCACGTCACCCTTCCCCAACCCCCTCTTCTACCCAACCTTTATCAATCCCACCGGTGACTCCACTGCAGCACCTAGCTCGTTCGTCCACCTCCAGCGGGCCTCCCTTGGCTACGACCTCACATCAACAACATCTGCCTCTGCCTGCTCCGGTCAAGGCTGCCGCTCCTCGCTCCCACCGCATGACTACTCGTAGTCAACGTGGGATTTTCAAACCGAAGCGCCTCTTCTCAGCACAGGTACCACCATTATCTATTACACCGTCTTCTCTCAAACAGGCTCTTGCGGATCCCCGTTGGAATGCTGCGATGAAGGCTGAGTTTGCTGCTTTACTATCAAACTGTACATGGACTCTTGTTCCCCGTACCCCTTTTCAGAATATTGTAGGTTGTCGCTGGATTTACCGGATCAAGTACAGGCCTAACGGTGCTATCGAGCGGTTCAAGGCCCGATTGGTGGCCAAGGGTTTTACTCAACGGCCGGGGGTTGATTTTAAAGATACCTATAGTCCTGTTCTCAAACCGGTCACTATTCGTACGGTGTTCAGCATTGCTCTCACACACAACTGGCCGATCTATCAATTTGATGTCAACAATGCCTTTCTTCAAGGTGATTTAGCGGAGAATGTTTTCATGGCTCAACCTCCTGGCTTCGTGGATCCGGCCCACCCGGATTATGTATGTCGTCTCTCTCGGGCTATCTATGGTCTTCGACAGGCCCCTCGCTCTTGGTATACGGCACTCTGCTCTTTTCTTTTGCAGGAGGGTTTTGTCAAAACCAAGTCCGACGCCTCCCTCTTTGTCTACAACAAAAATGGGGTTCTCCTCTACTTTCTTGTTTATGTAGACGATCTTCTCCTCACAGGCAATCATGCGCCATCTCTTGCTCGTTTTCAAGATCGTCTTGCTGCTCGTTTACTTCGCTACCTCAAGGGAACATCTACCTTGGGGCTTCGTCTCGCTCCCGCTACGTCGCCAAACCTGGTTGCCTTTGCCGATTCCGATTGGGCCGGCGATCCCAACGACCGCACCTCGACAATGGCCTACCTTATCTACTACGGTGGCAACCTTGTCTCATGGCGCTCTAAAAAGCAACGCTCCGTTGCTCGCTCTAGCACTGAGGCAGAGTATCGTGCCTTGGCTCATGCTGCTGCTGAGTTGCTCTGGCTTCGGAATCTCCTTCTCGAGCTTCATCAACCGCCTCCTGCTTCCCCCGTTCTCTACTGTGACAATCAAGGGGCCGTCAACTTCTCCGCCAACCCTGTCTACCACTCCCGCATGAAACATTTGGCGCTCGACTACCATTTTCTTCGCGAGCTTGTTCAATCTGCCGCCCTCGCTGTTCGCCACATTCCCACTGCCCACCAGCTCGCCGACTCTCTCACCAAGCCTCTCGCTATCTCCCGGTTTCAACTTCTTCGGTCCAAGATTGGCGTCGTCCCCACCTCCATCTTGCGGGGGCGTGATAGGAATAATCCTTAATTATTTATTCTTTCTGATTATTAGTGGGCTATTATAGTTGTTTTAGTTGTTCCTACTTCCAAGCTACGTGTGTTTGTATGATGGGTACTTAAACCCCAATCCTATTCAATACAAATCACCTGATTACATCCTCCACACTCCGCACGATCGCAGCTCAGAGTCCGGCCATGTAAAGGAAGAAGGGCGATCTGAACCGCTTCCTCCTCGCTCTGGTTCATCCCCCGACGAATCTCAACGTGACTCCGATTCGAAGAGGCAGAAGGTCGAAGAATCCGACGATGCCCTCAAGAAGATCTATGATAGCACCGACGATGAGAGTGTAGAAGCAGAAGAAGAAGAAGAAGAAGAAGAAGAAGAAGACGACGACGATAGCAGCGACGATAGTTATAGTGATCCTGCGCAAGAAGCAGCTCAAGGTCTACTTTCAGTCAATCGTCGACAGTGAGGTGAGAGGATTATTATTTCTATAGGGTTTCTGCTTCATTGTTTGCCTTACTGATCGCTGCGTTGTTCAATTTTTTTCCCGTTTAGGGCTATGATGTTGCAGAGTGTCCTCTCAAAATGGTTGGCCCCGACCATGGCTATCTCCGCGTCCACCTTGACGACCCTAGCGAGGATTATCACGCGACTAATGTAGTTACTTGTGTGAATCATGTCATTGATGAACAGAACAAAAATGGCACTGAGGTATGTTTTTCTATAGCATCGATCTGATAATAAACTAGCTTTTTCGTTCCCGAATCCCATCTTAGGATGAGCAGAGCAGCTTCGTGTGTGATTAATTTTTGTTCCATCAACAGATGAAATTGCTTAAGATTGAGAATGCGACTTCGATGATGGTAAATGGCTACAACTATTACATCACATTCTCTGCCGAGACTGGACCAAGTAAGGAAATCAAGGTGTACCAAGCTCAGGTCTACTGCAGTTTTCTGGGGCAAGTGATTAAGATAACGAAAATCATGGAGAAACAGCAACCCAAATCTTCAGGAAACGCGAGTTAAGCTTTGGATTGAGATCTGGGTTGTGAGAATATATATGCACCTGTGATGCTTTTCCTTGTTTTAATGAATACTGTCAGCTTAAGTTTAGGTGTAAACATATATTTTAGTCAATACCATAGCATTTATGACATTTTCGCCTTGCTAACGAGGTGATGCCTTCAAGGCGAAAATGAATGGTCCCTCTAATGGTTTAGTGCTGCACTGGCCGAATTGTTGGGAATCCTTTATGGTTTAGAAGTTGCTTGGAGATTTGGTCGCATAACTCTAATTGAGGAGTCCAATTCCTTGCCCGCAATTCAATTGATTAAGCCAAAAGCGAATTTGGTTCATCTGTATGCTGCTCTTATCTCCGCGGTTAGTCGAAGATTAGCCACTCAACTTCACAGCAGTAAGCCCCTTCATATTGTTAAAATCTGGCTGGTGTTTGATAACTTTGCTGCCAGTGTCAAAACATGGATATACAAGGGATAACGGACTACTGTTAATTGTGTTGCAAGTGCCCAAATATTAAACTGATTTACTTTATTATTTTTCATTTTCGCCGGGGAATGGGGATTGCAGCTGCTATTATCCATACATCCTGCTGCTCGCAGTTGCTGCCAGGGGAACAGAAAAAGCACGAATACCAGGAAGCTGTCAAGAATCGTTATAAGCATCTTCCCGAAGTCCAAACAATAGTGAGGTAAGGGGATTATTTGAGGTCGCCTTTGAAATTGATTAACGATGAGCCTTTGTTCCAGTGCTGCAACTTAATGTGGTGATGTATGATTGTGCAGACATAGGCATCTGCCTAAACCAATATACAAGGCGAAGGAGTTGCACCGTATGGTGATTGAATCTGAAAATAGGAAAGAAGAAAGCTCACATCACCCAGGAAGCATCGTTACCGAATCAGTGCGTGGGAGGATGATTAGTAGTTTGTTCGCTCTTCTCAACGACGGGGTAGCTTGGTCGGAGTTGCACGGAATTCTCGAGACCACCACATGGATACTTCGTCTCGACCATTCTTTAAGGACTTTTGATCAAACGAAGTCAGTACCATAAACAGTGTTTTGGTGCTTCGTATTCGTGTTGATGCTTCGTAGCTGGCTTCCGTGGATACAGACGTGTTGACTGGCCAAATAACAGAGAGGAATGAGGATCTTCAAGGACATGGTTTTGGCCGTTACCATGCATGTTTTTTTGGCGCATCTCTCCACTCCTGGTATTGATGAGACCAACATTTTTGGAAGATGGACAGAGACATATATTCAAGAATTCTAATATATTACCAGAACAACTTTTTTGCAGAGCCATTGCCATCCTTCCGTTTCCAATAGCGTATAGACGAATAGCGTCCCATGGGGATTGATGCTCAAGTACAATGGCAAAGGTATAATAATGTACCGCCTGCACCCCAATTGTACGGACTAAAGTCACATTCTGCCCTATATAAAGGCGCACAAACCCCTGTCCTTCCATTCCATCACAGCTCTGCGGCAACAACAAGCTACTTACTGTACTACCGCATCCATAGAGCAGCAGTACTTAGCAGCCATGGCTCAGCTTGCCAAGCTCGAGGCCGCAGTCGCCATGAAAAATCCAAACAAGCTAATGGATTTCCTGAAAAACAACATCCAGGCCTTGCCTCAACTGTTCCCTCAACTCTACAAGAGCGTGGAGATTGTCGGAGGAGGCCGCCAGCTGGCCACCGGCTCCATCATCTCGCTCTCGTATTACCTTCGTAAGACAGTTCTTTTAGCCTTCCTGCTCTCCTCTCCACGTCGATCAAGTGTAGTAATAATCTTGTTGATTTTGTTGTAGCTGGGACGCCCACGTTGATGAGAGGAAGCGTGGAGGTGGAATCCATGGACGAGGCAAGGAAGTCGATAACGCTGAATGTGATCGGAGGGGACGGGCTGAAGATGTTCAAGAGCTTCAGGGTGAAATGCGAGATTGATGACGAGCAGCCGCAGCTGGTGAAATGGAGCCTTGAATACCACAAGGCCAGTCCGTCTACACCACCGGCCGACCCTTATTTGGAATTCTACATCAACCTCACCGCGGCCATAGACGTCCTTTGACGAACTGTAACCCAAAAACCATTACTGGTTCTTGAACTTGAAGTGCGCTTTGGTCTACCAACAGCCACTGATAATGTGGGGACTTCCTTGATGTTGTAAGTTGTAACTGAGGGTGATGATATATAGAAATAAGAGTGTGGAGAGAACACCAAACCGGGCACTGAAATGATTTGTGATGATTTTCCGATTAAGTTATCCTCCTTGTGAAATTATTAATGGACTTGGATTGCAATAACAAGCTTTAAAATCTACAATGGAATGAGTGAGAAAGGTTTGACTTAGTGGCAATACCATCCGATCAATATTGAAATTGAATGACAATTTAACACTACAATTCGTAGTAATCGAAATATTATTTTGACCCAACTTGAATTGCTATAACATATAACCAATAATAAAATAGTAAAATATTTGATTTCTTTATGTTTCAATTGATATTTACTTATTTTGTATACCAAAGTAGTTCAATTTCTCATAATCTTCAACTGCAAAATAAATTATAACACCGATTACAATCCTTGTTTGATCTTTTTGTTAATAATTAACCTTATAAAAAATCCTAAAATAGTGCACTAGACCATCTCTTAAGTCTGAACTCTCAATTGGTTTCTGTTGGGGGAGTTGCAAAGATAGGCCCAGGGCGGCACAATAAAGAAGAAGAAATCACATCATGGGCCCGATCTGCGGGTTGGTCTGCGAGGCCTAACCTAGGATGGTATAGGAATCTAGGAGACAAGGCGCGGAAGACTCCAAAAGAATACGGACCGGACGCCTCGTACCTGTCAGGGGCCTGACAGGTTGGTCGGGGCGCCGAGCCTGACAAAGGTACGGAGTATTAAATGCGATGCTGACGTGGAGCTAAGATGAGGAAGACTGATGCAGGGTTGGGTAAGTATAAATAGTGTCGGTGGGTAGCATTTACTCAGGTTGGACTCTCTCACTAAACACTAGAGCTCTTCTCTCTCTAAAACTCAAACTGACTTGATCGTCGGAGGACTAACGGGCCCGGGCGCCCTCCTCCGTGTGCGTGTGTGCGGGTCAGGTGCCTTGAACACGTAGAGCGGGAATAAGGTTGGTGAGGAGTTGGGCTCCAAAGTATCTAGGCTCAAACAATTGGCGCGCCAGGTAGGGGAGTACGACCGAAAGTTGCAAACATGGAGGCGCCGCCGAGTGGAGAGGAGGAACAAATCATGGAGAACCCATCCACAAGGTCAAGAGAAAGGACGCCCGAAGCCGTGGCAGAGGCAGGAAGTGAGTCGAGGTTCCCGAGTTCCCAGGGCGCCTCGCACACCAAGAAAGATTTATTCAGGATCATCGAAGACCAGGATGAGGCAATTGAGATTCTCAAACGGGAAGTTGAGGCGTTGAAGAAGGGAGAGGGAATGGTGCGTAGACCGACTTCAAGGAAAAGGGAAAGAGATGTGGAGACAGAAGAGGATTCTGGGCAAGCAAGACACCCGACGTCTGTGTGGCACCCGAGAGGCCATGCAAACCCGGATTCGAGGTGCGCCATCGGTGGGCGTTGGGGCGCCTACCCCGACATTGCCTAGTAAGACAGCCCTTAGCAAGGAACGTGCTAATGGAGCCGGCTGGAACCAACATACCCCCACTTCCCGTCTACGATGGGACGGCGGACCTGGATGACCATCTGAACGGCTACTTCACAAAGATGCAACTCTACAACAGCTCCGATGCCACCTTGTGCAAGGTGTTCCCATCGACCTTCGCAGGCGTGGTGCTGGATTGGTATCACCAAATTGAGTAGAGGCGCATAAAGTGCTTCGAGCAATTTGCAGCAATGTTTCTGGCGAAATTCTCTAGCAGGAAACGTCGTTCATTGACCATAGGCGCCCTCTTCAAAATTAAACATAAGGAGGGTGAGGTCTTGAGAGAGTTTTACGAGAGGTGGCTCTCCGTAGCCCTGGCGGTAAGGGACGTCCAACCTTCAGTGTTGGGATGCTACCTAAACGAGTGAACCTCTAGTGAGGAACTTTGTAGGGCATTGGCAAAGAGAGACGTGGTATCCACGGAAAATTTGGACCGTAGGGTGCAAAAGGTAATAGTGTTGGAGGAAACCTTGGCAGCCCGGAGGGCGGATAGGCGCCTAACAAGAGGAGAAGAAGGTGAGACTTCCCGGAGACAGATGCCTCCCCTATGACCGATGCATACTCCCGCAGGTTATGCGTCAAGGAGAAGGATGGACGCAGGGTGCCTCCAAAAGTTAGGAGTGGGCTCCTTCGCGGAATTTAACGATACGCTGAAGAATGTGCTCCAGTATGTCAATGAGAAGGGATATCACGTCCGATGAGAGGGAAATCCAATGAGTGAAACTATACCGATACTGTGATTTCCATCGGGAGAGAGGGCACCATACCACCGATTGTTATCAACTGAAAACAGAGCTTCAGGGCTTGGTGGATAGAGGAATGCTCAGTGACTTTATAGAAAAAGCCGAAGAGAAAACGCACCACACTTGTGTAGCCAGGACGGAGTTGAAGACGGTGGAGTTGCCCCCACCGCCATACAACCTCGACCAGGACAAGGCACTCGAGCGGGTGCAGCTCACGGTAGAATCCATCACAGGATTGGTCGACCTGCGGGAAAAATTGGAAGCAAACCGCCGTTTAAGGGCCGCTTCGGTGGGCGCCCAGGAGGCCATCGACATTCATTTCAACCAGACGCTTGAGGAAGCATGTAGACTTCCATCTATGGACGCATTAGAGGTACAAGGAGTGGTGGCAGGTTGCAAGGTGAAACGGATGCTCGTTGACATAGGAAGCTCGATGGACGTGTTGTTTAAAGAAACGGTGGCACAAATGCAGTTGTCGCTCGATTTAATCCAACCCTCAGACTCTGTGCTGATTGGATTTTCTGGGGTGCCCGCAAGAGTGATCAGCCGAGTGCACTTGCCCATAACTCTAGGGGACGAGGAGCAGAGGGTCACTCACACCGTAGATTTCGCATAGTGGACTGCCCCTCCTCGTATAACGCTATACTTGGGAGGCCCCTCCTGGCCCTCTTCAACGGAGTGGCATCTACATGTCATCAGACTCTAAAGTTCACCACCCCTCAAGGAGTGGGAGTGGTCCGAGGACGAAGCGCCTCGCGTTATGCCCGCGAGACGGGAGGTAAGCGCCTACGGAGAGGTGAGAGAGTTAACGTGGTGGACATCCCGCTAGAGGAGGCGCCTCGGGTCGAGGCAGCAGATGAAGACCTTTTGATCGCTTTAGAGGAAGGGCGTCTCGATAGGCAAATTCGGATATCATCACAGGCGCCCATGGAAATGAGAGAATGATTGATCGACCTACTGCGGGAGTTCGGCGAACTCTTCGCGTGGACCGCCATGGAGATGCCCCGTGTGGCGCCCAAAATGACAGCCCATCGGTTGGCAGTAGAGAAGGGGAAGAAGCCTGTCCAGCAGAAGAGAAGAAATATGTCGCAAGAAAAGGAGGCTACGGACGGAAGTTAATAAGTTGCTTGGAGCAAATTTGGTGGAAAAAACCACTGATGACTTGATATATACACATGTTTTTGTTCACCATTCCTCTACCATTTGAGTCTCAACTCTCGTGTTTAAGGCCAATTTCACGCTAGGTTGTTCGTGTTTGTGATATTTCAGGTCCTAGTACGTGAAGGAAGGTACGGGCACGAGTTCGGGGTCGATTAGACGAAGTCAGAACGATTGATGAAAAGCTTGGGAAACCACACGGCCAGACCTAAAAACCACACAGCCTAAAAACCACACGACCGTGTGACGTGGCCTTGTGGAACCCCTTTGCGCGGGCAAACCACACTGGCCGTGTAAAGGATCCTTTGTGGCCATGTGGAATTCCCAGGGAGCTCACACGGGCAGGCCAAGATTTCACACGGCCGTGCGGCTTGGCCGTGTAGCGTGCGTGAAGACACTTAAGTGAAACGCGGCGTTTTATACTTCCACACGGGCAGTTGGCAATTCTACACGGTCGTGTACTCGCGAAATTCTGGGTTTTAACCCAATTTTGGGTCTTTTGAAGGGGGGATCAATTTTCAGAGCGAGAAACAGAGTCCTAGAGAGAGAAAGTGCGAAGAACACACCCTAGAGGTGATTTTGGAGCTGGGTTTCATCAATCAAGCTTGGATTTCATCCTTGGAGTGAAGATTATCATCCTAGAGCATATTCTTCTCCATCTTGATGAGTATGACTGCTTTCAGTGCTTTGTTTTCTGTTTTCCTCTCTCTCTATATATATATGGAGTAGAACCCTCTCTCACTTGGGTATGAAGAACCCTAGTTCCATGTGTTAGGGATATCGATTGTAATGACGTTTGGATTGTGATACTGCTTGATTATAATCGATTGAAGTGTTTTGATTGAGTCAATTGAAGGCTGATAATCTTTTATTGATTTCTGCCGCAACCTGAGATAGATAAAATTTGATTAGGTTGTTAGAGCCGGACTTCACATGGCCAAGGAGTTGGGCGCCCAGAAGGTGCAAGTTAAGACATATTCGGCTCTCATGATCAACCAGCTCAAAGGGATTTATGAGGTCAAAGAAGATGCGCTTGAAATTTATGTGCGAAGGGTAAGAGAGATGGGCGCCTGGTTTGGGGAGGTCGTGTTCACGCATATTCCAAGAGAGGAGAATACCCGTGAGGACGCCTTGTCAAAGCTAGCAACCGCTCTCGACTTCGCAGAGGAACAGAAAGTCCTCGTCACAAGGGAGGTGCCACAAGAACATCTGATGGCCACCCTAGCCAATGCAAGTGGTGATTGGATGGCGCCCATAGAACTGTTTCTAACCCAAGGCGTAGTGCCCGAAGACTCAAAAGAAGCATGGCGCCTCCGTCGAAGGGCGACACGATGCTGCATTATAGAAGGCTGACTATACAAAAGATCTCATTTGGGCGCATACTTGCGATGTTTGAACGATGAGGAAATCAAGACCGACATCGGCGAGGTGCATAGCGGGGCATGCGGCATGCACGCAGGGGTACGAAGTCTGGAGAAGACATTGTTGCGACAAGGGTATTATTGGCTGACGATGAGAAAGGATGTGAGGACACACGTCAGCGCCTGTCATCAGTGCCAGGTGCATGCAAATGACATACATATACCAGCGGCACCAATGGAAGGCAACTTGAGCGCCTGTCGTTTGCTCAATGAGGCATGGATCTCTTGGGTCCTTTTCCAAAGGCACCCGGCCAAATGAAATACATAATAGTGGTCGTCAACTACTTCTCAAAGTAGATCGAAGCCGAGCCATTGGCCACCATCACTGAGGCCCAGGTGCGCAAATTCAACAGGAAAAAACATATTCACCCGCTTTGGCCTTCCCGAGTCCATCGTTACGGACCACGACAAGCAATTTGATTTCAAAATTTCATCGAATTTTGCAATGAGAATGGTGTGGTGTTGCGGTTTTTCTCGGTAGCATTTCCTCAAGCCAATGGACAAGCGGAGGCGGCCAACAAAAGTATTTTGCATGGGTTGCACACCAGGCTGACAAGCGCCAAGGGAAGATGGGTGGAGGAGTTACCTAGTGTTTTATGGGCACACCGGACGATGTACAAGACAGCCACGGGTGAAACTCCATTTGCTATAACTTATGTGGGGAGGTGGTCATTCCAATCGGGGTCACTGTTCCAAGCTATTGGGTGGCTCATCACGACCCCACCAACAATGATAGAGAACGAGTCGAGGAATTGGACTTGGCAGACGAAAGGCGAGAAGTTACCGCGGTGCGCCTAGAGGCTATGAAGAAGCAAGTCGCAAGATACTATGACAGGAAGATGCGCCCACAAGCCATTGAAGTAGGCGCCCAGGTTCTGAAATGGGATTTTCGTCCAGACTCCCGGGAAGGAAAGTTGGCGCCAAAGTGGAAGGGTTCATATCGTGTTCGCGAGGTCGTAGGCACCGACACGTTCAAGTTGGAAGACCTCGATGGCAAGACGGTAAAGAGGACAAGGAATGCACAAAACTTGCGTCTCTACCAACCATGCTCGGTCGTCTCTCCCTGAATTCATGGATGGTGTCAGGCTCCAGGATAGTAGTATTTGCTTTTTCTATCTTTTTTGAGTCACAAGTGTGGTAATTGCGATACGCTCGTATTGTTTCCAAAGTGCCCAATATAGTAGCGCCGTAATGTGTCAAAAGCGCCCAACATATGTAGCGCCTTAGCAGTGTTAAAGCGCTCGTAATCAGTAAGAGCCCATCCATGTTTTAATGTCCCTTTCCAAAATGTGTTAAAGCGCCCAACTTCGCGCTCTTAAACTAAAACAATGTTTGGACAAAACAGGCCACGCAAAAGCGCCCAACCTCGTACCCTTTCAAACGGAAAAGAAATAACTTTAAAGCGCCCTCCCTAGCACCCTTAGAAAGGGAAAAGTATCAATACAAAGCGCCTTGCATAACACAGTGAAGAAATGAGACAAGTTGAAGCTTGTTCTTTTATAACAAGTGCGGGTACATAAACGATTCGTTGCAAGAACAAAAGTGCACAAATGAATCACTAGAATTATAAAAATACATGAGTCTTCACTCGGCGCCCGAAGAAGCATCGCCCGCGATGTCCTCCTCATCCTCGACCGCGGGAGAGGCGCCTGCTTCAGGCGGCGCATCAGCTGCTGGAGGGTCAAGCGCCTGCTCCCCCTCATCGGAGCCAAGCATATCAGCGATCACGAAGTCAGTCATGTCTCCCAAATCCCAAGTATGGTATGGGTGACCGTGCTCGAGCTTCTTCTTCAGGATGCCTATACTCGTGAGGCAAGCGTTGGCAAAAAGGTTCTTCCCAGCATCGGAGTCTTCATAATGCTCCAAAGACGCCTTTAGGGCGGCAATCTCCTTCCGGGACACCTTCAATGCCTTCTTGTAATCCTTCTGACCATGAGACATGCCCGTCAGTAGGGCTGGTAAACGGTCGGTAACCGGTATACCGAACATAATCACAATTCCACCGTTTGCCGATACCGAAATAACTCGGTAAACCGAACACTGAATTCATACGGTATTGGTTATTGGTCGTATACCCGTTTTACCGAAGGCGACCTCTCCTTCAGTGCTTCATTTGTCTGCCTTATAATTCGGTTGCTTCTCTACTAACCAAACACACACAAACTGACAAACACACATTCAAAAGCAAAAGTTCAAAACAAAGAATTAAACAAACAATAACAATGGTAATGGAATTCGACTATCAATTAAACAAAGTGAAAACAAATAAACAAGCGAAGTCAACCAAAATTACCTGAAAAGCCTTAAATCCAAGGAGAGAAGAACACATTACTAGGTTGCTAAGGAAGCTCACAACGACAACAGGATCAACGGAAACGAGACCGACGACTACAGGGGTGGACGGATAAGGGGCCTAACGGTGACGAGGGTCGACTAAAACATGGCCCGACAGAGACTGGGCTGCTGGGTCGAGCGTGCGTCGATGACGGGGAGGGCGAGAATTCTTTCTATTTCTACAGATAGCTATGGGGCAGCGACCAGCGTTTGGAGTCGAGGATCGATATTGCGGCATGACCGTCATACTCGTACGGCATGCAGATCGCAGATGGAACTTGGGAGAGCGATGAAAATTGAAAAATGAGTTTTTCTATTAACTACTCATTTTGTAATTTACTAACCTAATTAGTAATACTAGGTTAATTAGGTAGGGACGTAGGGTTGGGGAGGGTTGTCCTTTCAACCGGTATCGGAATGCCGAGCTATCGACGGTAATATACTGTTTCCATGCCGATATACCGAAGGCAAATTCCCTGCTTCCGAATACCATGAACAATGGTTAATGGTTCAACCGGTAATCGCGGTTATCGGTACGGTTATCGGTTAAAGTGTTAACCGTAATACCGTTAACCACCCCTACTCGTCAGGTCATCTTGGAGACTCCCCTTCTCTTCTTTGAGAAGGTCGATCTCGCTGGCTTGGGCGCCCACCTCCCTTGCCAGCGCCTCCTTCTCGGCCTCCAAGTCTTCACGATGGCGCCGCTCCTTGTTGAAAGCGGCCTGCAGGAGGGACAGTTCTTTGGCCGCCTCACCCTGGGAGTCTTCACATTCCTTCGCTAGTTTTTCGCGACACATTTTGGCGGTGGCAAGATCATCCATAGCCATGGATAAAGAGTTTGAGGCAGACAAACTCTCTCCCTTGGCCGCCTCAAGGCGTCGGGCGCCTCTCTCGACAGAAAGGAGCACCTACATTGGAAATCTCGCGTTAACACATACCATGGAAAATTGGGAAACTCGTGATAAAGACAAGTAATTACCTTCGCGACCACTTGGGCGAGCTCTGCAAAGAGGTGCTCTTTGTCGATCTCCGAATGCACCTGCATCTTTGCGGCGGAAATGACCAACCCATCGCGCAACCCCGATCAACGGCGGCGCGAGAAGAGCAAGGCAGGGCGATGCGCCCCATTTCGGTGGAGAGGGGCTGAAAAACAGGAGGGCGCCTGTCAGGCCCCACGAGGTGCCCATCCTCGTCCAATCCCAGGCGTCCACCCTGAGGGACAGCGCGAGCCTTTCCCTTCTCTGTCTCAAAATGGCGATCCTTTTTTCCGCCTTGAGATAGCGGGGCGCCTGCCCTCTTCTCCCGGCAAATCAAGTGGGGCGCCTCTTCTTCCTCTTCTTCAACAGCCATGTCAAAGGTGATCGGATCTTCGACAGGCTCCGCCGCGCCCTTAGTTGGGGCAGAAGAGGCCACGCTAGTGGTCTTCGCGGTGCGGGGCGCCTTACTCTTGCCAGCTCCATCTATGGCCTTCTTCGCAGACTTTCTCTTCTTGGGAGCAGGTGGAGGGGGCGCCTCGACCGCTGTAGATCCGGGTGCCTCCGCATTTACATGGCCAGTCGGCTGTTCATCAGGGTCGCGATGCTGGTAAAGTCAGACCCTGTGATGACTTAATATATACACATGTTTTTGTCCACCATTCTTATACAATTTGAGTCCTATTTCTCGTGTTTTAGGCCGATTTAACGCTAGGTTGTTCTTGTTTGTGATATTTCAGGTCCTAGTACGTGAATGAAGGTTTGGGAACGAGTTCGGGGTTGATTGGACGAAGATTGGACGTTTGGCGAGAAGCTGAGGAACTCACACGGGCACGCCTAAAATCCGACACGGCCGTGTGACACCAATTTGCACGGGCAAGCCACACTGGCCTTGTAGGGGACACCTTGTGGCGGTGTGGAAAGTCCAGGAGCTCACACGGCCAGCCTGGAAATCCAGACGGCCATGTGCCTCTGGCCGTGCATCATGCTTGAAGACCCATTAAGTGAAACGCCGCGTTTTGACATCCACACGAGCAAACTGGGATTCCACACGGCCGTGTGGTCGGGAAATTCTGGGTTTAAACCAATTTAGAGCCAAAGGAGAGAGAATCGAGTTTTTGAGCAAGAAATAGAGCCCTAGAGAGAGAAAGTGAGAAGAACACATCCTAGAAGTGATTTTGGAGCTGGGTTTCACCAATCGAGCTTGGAGATCATCATAGGAGTGAAGATCATCATCCCAGAGCAGATTTTCCTCATCTTTATGAATATGACTACTCTATTTTCTGTTTTCCTCTCTCTCTCTATGGAGTAGAACCTTCTCTCACTTGGGTATGAAGAACCCTAGTTCCATGTGTTAGGGATCTTGATTGTAATGACTTGGGATTGTTATACTGATTGATTATAATCGATTGATGCATGATTCATTGAGTCAATTGAAGTCTGATCATCTTTTCTTGATTTCTGCTGCAACCTGAGATAAATAGAATCTGATTAGGTTGTTAGAGCTTCATCAATCGGTAGTGGTAGATGGATTATACGAGAGTTAATCGATTTACTACTTTGTACTGGAATCCAATTCCAGTAGTGGAGTTTTGCGTTCATAGCCTCAACTTTCTATCCCGGTGAAGACTAGTCGTCTGCCGGGTAGTTGGACTAAGAGGGATTGGTCAGCTTAAGAGATTCCAAGCTACTGTCGGATCTTCCACAGTTCAATCAACAGTTAATCAACCCAGGGTAATTACAACCTCGACCTAACTAAGGAGCTAGGGGGACTCTCGACCTCGGCCTGGACGATGACGAGGACTACATCACAGAGGTCAACAATCTGGAGGGTGTTCATTTCAAGGTGCTGTACACCCGCCTAGCTCAGGCTGGTTAGCCTCCCTTCCATGCAGGGCGGACGAAGGCTAGCACCCTGCAGCTAGATAACGCATTCTCCACCACATGCTAGTGAAATCCTTCACTCCAGCTGGGGACAGTGCTAGCACCCTGATAAGCCGTTAATTGCACATGTTTTTACCCCTATTTTGGAGCCGTTTGAGGTGTTGATTCTCGTGTTTTAGACCGATTTCATGCTAGGTTGTGCTTGTTTATGATATTTCAGGTCCTAGTAAGTGAATGAAGGTTTGGGAACGAGTTTGGGGTCGATTGGACGAAGATCGAACGCGTGGCGGGTCGCTGAGGAAGCCACACGGGCACACACAAAACCCACACGGCCGTGCAAGCAACCAAGGTGGCCGTGTGGGATTATGCGAGGCTTCACACGGGCAGACTGGGTGAGCCACACGGCCGTGTGTTCCTGGCCGTGTAGGTAGCCTGAAGTCAATTAATCGGAACGCGGCGTTTTGGATCTCACACGGGCAACTGGGTATGCCACACGGCCGTGTGGCCTGCCCGTGTGTGTCGGGATTTTCTGGTTTTAAGCCAATTTCCAGCCACATGTGAGGGGGATTGGAGTTTTAGAGAGACAGAGCGATTCCTAGAGAGAGAAAGCGACGAACAAGAGTTCCCAAGTGCCCTAGCTTGATCTTCATCACCATTGGAGCTAGGGCTTGAGCTTGGAGGAGTGTCGATTGACAACCAGGAGCAGAAACTCTTCCTTCACAGTATGATTTCCGCGTCTGAATCTACTTTTGCTTCTTTCTCCATGAAGTAATTCTCCCATTCATCTGGGTATGGGAAACCCTAGATTTGTATGTTAGGTTTGATTGTATGAACCCAAATATAGATTCTATGATTTGATTATATTCAATTGAGGTTTGAATGGCATGAATCCTGATCAAATTCCTGTTGTTTCTGCTTTAACCTAGAATGAGAATATCTGCCTAGGTTGATAGAGCACCCTTAATTGAAGGTAGTGAATTGGCGACTTTAGTCGAGGAGCCAATTCACTATTCTGTACCGAATTTACTTCGGTAGTGGAGGTTTTGTTCGTTAGGGCCTCAATCTGTTTACTCTGGTGGAGGTTAGTCGCCCATTGGAGACTCAGATTGAGAGGGTCTGGAGACCTTTAGTCGAGACTTCAGACTGTTTAAGAACCTTCCGCGGTATAACTTTCATGGAAACTGAACTTGGTAATTGTAATCCGGCTTAACTGC